TGTGCAAAACGAAGGGACTGCAAGAAGGATTGTGACCTTGATGCCGATGATGTGCTTCCAGTTTGCCCCATTACATATCGCCATACATCTGACTCACTAAATGGGACCATGGCTCCATCACAATTCACTGCATGCCACCTGTAATACATCATCAGAGCGTTTGCACGCTTCAGCACTGTATTGGGGCTCTTGACCCCCATCACTGAGATCAGCACTTCATCAACCTCCTTCTCGTCCAGGTCTGTGATCTGTCTGCCAACGTCTGAACTATCAGGGTGAAGACAAACAAGGAAACGCCACTTGGCAAGAGCCCCATGCATTGTCTTCTCTCTCTGTTGAATGAACGTTTGGTCCGTTTTGTGCTGGACATACTGTGAACACTTCCAATGCCTCTCACAAGGTATCACTGGGGCTGCAACCGGCAGGTCAGTACTGCCCCAGTCGATGGGCATGCTGAGTCTAGCACCGGGGTATTCATCCCCAAAGATCTGACGCATAAGTGGGGTCTCCCAAGGCATAGTGACAGCTGAGAACTTTGCACCCCTAATGAACATGTCCGAAATGGCAGCATTATCGTCGCTGAAAGAACTTCTGCCACCAACATCCAATGGCACCACAGTGTCATGACATGAAGCTGCAACTGAAGGCTCATACTCAGACTGTTTGTCACTTGAAAAACAAGATGAAGCCCACGAACCCGAATGCTCACACGTATGTTAATGGTACAGATGTCAATACACATGGTTATGCAGTCACGCACAATACCTTTCTGCAATAGTTTATTTGAACAGTCTTGTACATGTTCCCTTGTTACCAGTCTGCACGTTGTGGAGTGTAAAGTGTAGAGTGGAGAGTGTAGAGTGTGTAAAGTGCAGAATGCGGAGTGTAAAGTGTAGAGTGTGGAGTATGGAGTGTAAAGTGTAGAGTGTGGAGAGTAGAGTGTGGAGTGTGGAGTGTAGAGTGTGGAGTGAGGAGTGTAAAGTGCAAAGTGTGGAGTGTGGAGTGTGGAGTGTAAAGTGAGGAGTGTAAAGTGTGGAGTGAGGAGTGTGGAGTGTAAAGTGAGGAGTGTAAAGTGTGGAGTGAGGAGTGCAAAGTGGAAAGCGTGGAGTGTAAAGTGTAGAGTGTAAAGTGTAGAGTGTAAAGTGTAGAGTGTGGAGTGTAGAGTGTAGCGTGTGGAGTGTGGAGTGGAAAGTGTGGAGTGTGGTGTGTAGAGTGTGGAGTGTGGAGTGTAAAGTGTAGAGTGTGGTGTGTAGAGTGTGGAGTGTGGAGTGTAAAGTGTGGAGTGTAGAGTGTGGAGTGCGGAGTGTAAAGTGTAGAGTGTGGAGTGTGGAGTGTAAAGTGTGGAGTGTAGTGTGGAGTGAGGAGTGCAAAGTGGAAAGCGTGGAGTGTAAAGTGTAAAATGTGGAGTGTAGGGCGTTTAGTGTAGAGTGTAAAGTGTAGAGTGTGGAGTGTAAAGTGTGGAGTGTAAAGTCTAGAGTGTGGAGTGTGGAGTGTAAAGTGTGGAGTGTAAGTGTGGAGTGAGGAGTGTAAAGTGTGGAGTGTGGAGTGTAAAGTGTGGAGTGTGGAGTGTGGAGTGGAAAGTGTGGAGTGTGGAGTGTAAAGTGTGCAGTGTGGAGTGAGGAGTGTAAAGTGTGGAGTGAGGAGTGTAAAGTGTGGAGTGTGAAGTGTAAAGTGTGGAGTGTGGAGTGAGGAGTGTAAAGTGTGGAGTGTAGAGTCTAAAGTGTAAATTGTGGAGTGTGGAGTGTAAAGTGTAGAGTGTGGAGTGCGGAGCTTAGACACGGCGACGCCACAGGAAAACCAGAGACTCGAGACGAGACACGTGGGCGCAGAAAAACGAACATTTCGTGCGAGACTTCCTCCAATTTTCATACTTTGCAGCTCCAAAATCGACGTTTTCCTACGAGTTTTCCTTAGAACCTGAAAATTTGTAACATCAAAATCGATGTTTCGTGCGAGGCTTCCGTCAATTTTCAGCACATGTGAGAAAATGCCACGCCTGCCACGGAATTTGCATCTTGTCACCACTTGACGCAGCCCTGCCAATGCGATTTACAAAAAACACGCAAAAGGACACGTCTAAAGTGCTGCGCCTGCCACGAAAAATGACGATGGACACGCCCAAAGTGCTGCGCCTGCCACGAAAACTGCAACACATCTTCTGAAAACGTCCCAAAAGTATTGCGCCTGCCACGCAAAACGACTTGCGACACGTTGCAGAACACGTCTGAATGTCACGAAGTGCTACATCTGCCACGCGAAACGAAGCAGCCAGACGTCTGAAACCTCCAAAAAGGACCACCTCTGTAAAACTTCCCATAGGCACGGTCATACGGTCCTCGCGCGAACGGTTGCGGACGGTTGCGGACGGTTGCGGACGGTTGCGGACGGTTGCGCTCGCGAACGCAACGTCGAGCGAACACACCCTCGACCCCCAGACCCGCAGAGTGAAACGGGAACCCTTGCTACGCATTCGGGAATGACTGGGCTCAAAACCAAAGCCGGCGCCATCCAAAAAGTCGTGGTCACCGACAGGATGATTCAAGTCCAACGCATTGTCAATGTCACCGGCTGCAACGCTAGACACAACCACATCAGCATCAGACTGAAAACTTGCATTTGACATGTCTACCCCTACTTTGTCTGATGTTTTCCTCCATTTGAGTCTGAGTCCTCGTAGGCCTCCAGCGTCGTCATCATCCATAGCTCAACTACCCCCCGGCGAAATGCAAACTCTCCTAAAAGAAAAACATGCAATGAAGATGGACATTTCCTTGACCTGAGAATCTGTTGCACAAGCATTGGAAAAACTGAAGACATCTGGAAACTGAAAACATCTGCAGCATGTATGAAGAAAAGTCACGTTGACCTTGAACCCAGCCAGCTGATTCGAATCCAAATCTTTCTGCAGGTGATAACTCGCACTCATGACTGACCGCTATAAAAGCTGGAGAGCGCCATCCCGAACTTCAAATTCCACATTCATGTGACTCATATGCAACCAATGGACAATCCAAGCGAAACATGCTGCTTCTGACTTGCTAGACACTGCAGTGCACGGGCATGCTGCTTGTTTTCTCTGGTTGCGATCAAATCGCCCTGAGCGCACCACCGGCCACACAATCAAACCGACCGTAGTGACTCAAGGGATGTCCATAGAGAAATGAAGATGTTAAAATCGAGTTCAGCAGTTGCAACTGCATCGAACAAGAGGGTCCCCAAACCCGATATTGGGCTTGGGTGTGGGGGGTTTTCAGTTGGCTTTCCTGAGCCAACACTTCTGCCGGCCAATCAAGTCGTCATGGCCATGTTCCTACGCACATGCTGTGCTACACAACATGCTGCTTCTGACTTGCTAGACACTGCAGTGCACGGGCATGCTGCTTGTTTTCTCTGGTTGCGATCAAATCGCCCTGAGCGCACCACAGGCCACACAATCAAACCGCACTGGCCGCAATCATCCCACACTGCCGGTGCACTGGAATGTCAAATCAGAAGCAGGAAGTTGAAGTAGCAAATCATCTAAAGCAGAGCTATGTGCATATTCCAAATCATTGGCTACGCGAATTAAAATCTTCCAAAGCGGATCAAGATTAAAATGAACTCTTGTGGCCTTCAAAGCTGTCATATCAGAAAAATCGAAACGAGATACAGAATCGCTCATATTCAAGGAAGAAGGAACCCATTCAAAATGAATGTTCCAACCGAAATGACAAATAAGTCGCCAAATGAATGCCAGTAAATTGTTGATACAGGAGTCTTTTCCGTAACCTTTGAGGAGTCCGGACAAACCGGCTTGGTTGTCAATCAATGCGATGATCAAGGCAGGGAAATGATTTCGCAGCACCGCCATTGCTATCAATTGCGCAACAATTTCAAGAAAATAGATGAAAGCACGTCTCTCGCAAAATGCTCGAAGAACCCTTGGTGGCACAATACCAGCAGCGAACACTGTATGGTGGTAAATATGGCAAACGAAACCCCAACCATTTTCAAATTGATGACATCGTGATTTCGCCCAAAGCCCTGTAGGACAACAGTGACCTGCAGAGAAGGTGTGATCACCTTTTTTGAAGAAAGCATCAGTGTACAGGACTCCAGGTCGGCTTAATACCCTGGTGGAAATCAGACGTGGTTGAAGGGCATCAAAAAGCATCAACAAGGTACGAATAGCACAGTTCATCGCAACTGGCAACGCATCATGGTGAACATCCTTTGCGCCAGAATGTGCAAAAACATAAAAAGGATGAATTGCAGATTTGCCCAGCTGTCCAAACAAGCTGCTCGTGAGAAATACCAGCTTGCCAGCAATGCGTTGTGCTTCCAGGACACTCAAAAACTGTTGCGTCTGAATCTTCAGCAAAGCGTTACGAAGCTTCTCCAAGCGATCAGGGTGTGGGCTCAAAACAATATCAGAATCTCGAATGTGAACCATGACGCCTAAAATCTTCTGATGGGAACTCGGCGCAAGGGATTTCTTGTCTTTCATGTTGAGGCCAAAGCATCGGAAAACCGCGCTAAACGCATCAAAGCCGCTATGAATGGTCTGGGAATTTTCAATACCAACAAAATCGTCAACAAAATGACCCACGCAAATCTGAAAAATACGTCTAGCCAGGAAACATAAAGCATCTGCTGCCCGATTGAATCCCCAAACTGAAGAGACAGCGCCGAAACTCAGTGCATGATGTTGAAGCAGCAAAGGGCCTGAACCCAATTGAAGGATACAAAAGCCATCGCGTGGATCGCGAAGTGGAAATTGGCGATACGCACCATCCAGGTCCTGTGCCCAGGCTTGGGCTTGAATTTGCAAATCAAAATGAGCACGGATAAGTTCAACGAAAACGGAAAGATCATCATGATGTGGGGTATCGTGTACACATACTGTACTGTTCAGAAAGCTGTGCTTGAAATCTTCACAGCGTCGGATTTTGTCACTTTGTTCGACGCTAAAACAAAAAGATGCAGAAATCTCATCATCTGGCAAAGGAATATTGTAGCGATCAGGGAGCTCTGCTGTGTTGCAAGGCCACCAAGTGGGAGCCAGAAAAGGGCCTCCCATACGTCCTAGCCGAAGTTCTTCAATGAGCTCTTTTAACATGGTGTCAGCATGCTTGTCAATACGCGGATGATTCAACCTTTGCAAGATATAATGGCGATTCAGCTCTTTGAACCGTGGCATTGATAATGGTGAGGCATATTTATCATCTGTACGTGGGGCCCATCCGCTACCTCCATGTAGTTGACCAGTCATGGCAAAACCATTACAAAGATCATCTGCTAGTTCAGGCAAACCAGGAAAACCAAATCGACCCAACAAATGCAGCAAAACCGGTATCTGTGTGATGACCTTGGTGTCAGGGTTCCAATATACTTGTTGTATATGGGGCCGCAACTTCAACCACCAATCATGGGTGTGGTCGGCCCACTCATCGACCATCGTGTGAATTTCGACAGCCAGTTCGTCACGGATGCGAACCAAGTCATGACGCCAATCAAACTGAAATTTCAAGCATTGAACAAAACCAGGTGCAATCTTGGCAGGAAAATGCAAAGGGTGATCCGCAGTGGTGGCATTGTGCCAATGATCCCAAATGTCTCGTGAAGGAGCCACACAAATTGGCTGAGTGGGCCAGAAACCTGGTCCAACATGTGCCGTTTGGACCCGCATCAACTGTTCCACCCATTGCAACGTGCTCTGTCGTGGAGGTGGTTTCAAAGTCGTGGAAGCGGAGCCTGTGACCATCGCTGCCAAGACAAACTGAAAAAGAAAGCGGGCGACGCCACAATGCCATCCATTTGCCAGAACTCGGTGGCGGCTTCGATCGTGGACTCCATCAATGGCAGTGTAGCCTTTTGGTAGCATATGCAGTTGCTCTTTGCACTCCGCAGTGGGCACCTGCATGTTGCCCTGGTCATCATGCAGTAGAGCATGCGGTTCATACTGCCATGGAGCATAGGTGCGATGATCCTCCAGCCAGCGGGTTTTGGTGTATGGGTCCAACTTCCCTTTCATTCGCTTCGGAGCCGCCCGTCCAGACGCGGAAGGCGAAGGAGTGGTCAAGCAAGGGACGCACAGCTCATGTCGTTGAACCCGGGGGTCCAGATGTTTGCCATCAAGGTCCAACGATGACGCATGCTGAAGATCGCAGTCCACATGCAGACGGGGAAATTTATGCAGCTTGGTCCAATGCAAAGGCTTGGCAGACCCTGGATATGAATTTACAGTGTGCCAATCAACGCGGCTCCACCACAGCCGAGGACGACTGATCAATCCGAAATCTGATGCATCAACTGCAACTGTCTGACAACCCAACGCGTTGGAGAAAAAATCCGCCTCACCACGATCCTGCAAAATCACGTTCCCCACCAGGTAGCCCACTCGATGGTGGGGAAGACCAGACTCAACCTCACGACACCAGGTGCAATAATGGGAAAACTTCTGTCCTTCTGGTCCTGAACGGCCAGGTGCATCAGGGCGAATCGCGCTAAAGTCTGGACACGGTGGAGCTCCAACAAACAATATCAATTTTTTGCCTTGTGGGTCGTACTCAGAGACCAGAGACACTACATCAGCAGCAGGATCAGACATGAAATCGCCTCTGGCCACTACTTGTGGGAAGTGGCGCTTTGTGATGAGCAAGCATTCGGGGTCACCCTCCCAAGCCACAAAGAGGAAAAGCGTGCCAAACATCTGTGTCAAAACATGAGCAGCCGTTGCAATACCATCAAAACAGCTCAGCAAAATGATGTCATTGCCCGAAACTGGGGAGGCCTCGGCACGTGGTTGGGATATCCTGCGTGGCAGTGGAGGGCGGTTGTCAGCAATGACAACAGGGTCGGGTGACCCACCCACCTCAAAAGGTGGGTCCCCGTGTTGTCCCTATTTGCCACTGGCGTTCCAATCAGATGGCCAAGAAGATGACGACCATCTGGCAGGAGAGCTCGCCTCAGGATGCCATGTAGATTGAGAAGGGGCCCCATTTCCATCGGGATATGGCGCCGTCCATGTCTTGTTTTGACGGGCATACGGTTGCGACCTGTATTGGCCAAACTTGGACTTGCCCCCTCCTTTGCCGGAACCTTTCTGAGGTCCAGTCTTCTCGGTATTGTTGGACTTCTTGGTCGAAGAAGATGCCTCTCGTGACATGCACTCACTGAAAACATCCAAGTCTTTCATCAAGAGGCTAGCCGCAGCATCAAAGGACTGGCCACTTCTCATTGCGGTGGCCAACTTCCAACTGATAGTGATGAAGAATTGCCCAAACTGTTCGGTCTTTTGAGGTCTCGATCGAACCAGTCTGGTCAGCCAATCAAAATAGGAGTGGACTGCCTGCTCACTCCCAAGTTTCAACAGAATGAAGCACCAACGGATGGAAGCTAATCCATCCAGCACTGCCAAAACACTGCGTGGTTGCCACGCTTCTTCAGGGGCAGCTACGAGCTTGGCATCGTTGAGCAACAACGTGGTAGTGCTGCGATCCTTCTTGGCCAATGGGTTTGGTTCGCCAGCCGCAGTAAAAGTCCTGGCGGCTACCAACTCACCGAGACCCACCGGACTGTAGGTCTTGGAGCTGGTGTGTTCGTAGTAAACCCTGGCCAAGATCTTGTCTGTGCCAAGAAGTTCGTTGACCGGGAAAATCCGGTCAACGCCCCCAATTTGTTGCGACTGGTACTCATGGAGCAAATTGGCCCAGACACCGGGAGGCAACTGCCTCGGAATCTTCTCCTCGGCCACTGGATTCGCTGCTGCTAGCGAAATGGCGCCAGGAACTGAAGTGACTGGAGGAGCATGCCGCAAGGTCATCTGAGCCTGCCAAGAGCTATTGGCTTCATTCCAGAGATGCTTCAAGATGGCTTCTGCAATTGGCTTTTCAGCCTCGGCTAGGCTGATCCTGGATCCATCCTGTTTCTCCCACCCACTCATCAAAGGTGTGATCAAAACCGATGAGAGGTGGTCTTCATCTTTGGCAAGCAGGGCCAAAGTAGCAGTGGTCTTGATGGCTCTGTCTGCAAAATAGGAACGAATGACATCCCCTGCTGCTGCTTCCACAAACAGATCCTCGAGGGCAGGCAGAGTGCCATGGTTCAATGCCCGCATGGTCATGGTGGCTAGGCACCGTTGGAATTGGGCCAGCAAAATTCTGAGAATAAATCGAACCACGTGTGTCTGAAAGACCGATCTGCCGTGAACACTTAACGTGTCGTGATGAGTCGCAAATCAACACAAAAACAACTGTGCAAAGACCAAAGTTGGAAAAATAACCAAGTGGGGTGGCACAACCAAAACAAACAAAATACCTGCCTACCAGTTGGTGGAGAGCAGCCAAAGTACCACAATGATGTGCAGAGTCTCAGGTCTAAAATGAAAGACATCATAAATGTAAACTCGCATGCAGTGGACTGGCACCTGGGATACCGTGTCGGCCGGTCGCATTTGTTTTAACCACATCAGTTGCATGAGTCAGGTTAATGTGGATGCCTATTGCTGGCACCGATCAAGAACCTCGCCAGCTGGAGGCTTCAGAACATCAAGAGCTGTCACTATCAGAAGGTTCCAGGTCAGAAAAGCCCGAACCAGAGCTCTGAACATCGGAACCGGAATCTGCATTCCGATCAAAACATTTCTGACAGGCCCTAAGGGGATCAGAAATCTCACTGACCCTCAAAAAGTTTGCCTGACCATAGGCCCATCCACACCGTGAACGCCACGAGCTAGGTGGGTTGCTGAGTTCATGCGGGCAGCCCAGGTGGACAATCTTGGACCTGGAGCGAATGACATATGCTGCAGGCGGCTTGATCACTGCTTGTTTGAGGATCTGAAGCTCGGCACGCAAAGCAGTGATGTCCCCGGATGTCGAGGTCCTGGAAGAAGAAGAAGCGCCCGATCTGGAGGACTCGTTTGAGATCCTGGGAGCAGCACGGCTCAACGCATCTGAATCAACTTGAGGGCCCACGGCAGGCGCAATCGCCAGCGAACCAACATCAGGCCGGTTGTTCAGCACCACATCAGGGATGCTCGGCAGCAGATTGAGGCCAGCTTGCTGCGTGTAGCGCAAGATGGTCATGCTTGTCCATCTCCCCAGCAGCTGTATGAGCTGTAGATGCACACCAGCTGCGAACAACATCTGCGCTCCACTGACACGTAGAACGTGGCCGTGGAAACGTTGAATGTCTTTCCCTGAAGGATCCCTGCGACTCAGTGGAATGCCAAGAAAAGAAATGACTGACCTGAGTGCCATGATAAATTGATGCTTGCTGGCAGTCTGTCCATTGCTAGTGGGAAACAATGGAAACCTATTTGCATCACCACCGCCAAGGTTGTGTTGGCACCTGATGAGGTGGCGCTCTGCCGCATGCCAGACGCATAAATTGTGTCGTCGGACCCTGCAGGAGCAAGACAGCACTCGTTCACAGAGCTGACCATAGCAATCGGTTTTGTGGATTGGAATCAGCAAGCGAAGTTCAGAGTCAGTCAAGGTCAAATGACTGAGCCGAGCTGATGCTAACTCCGACTCACGTAACATGTACCACAATCCGATAATGCAAAGATCTCGGCAGTGGCTAACTTGATCAAAACTGAAAGCTTCATCGACAAAACTGAAAGAGCAATCATTGAGTCGCATAGCGTCGAAGGACTCCTTTAAACGTTGAGCTCCAAGTCCACGCAAAATTGAACGCAGACAGTCTCGAATGACATGCCGAAGCAACGAGTCAACAGGAAGGTGCAAATGCCTGGTTTGGTGTGAGCAAATGGATTGAAAATACACGGCAGCGCTTCTGTATCCACCTGCTTTCAGACTCGCAGCGAAAGCTCGAACGTTCTCATTGGAGAGCGGAAAAGGCTCCAGATCCCAAGCCTTGCAAACAGCCTGATACGTCCGAAGACGTGACGCGTGAGCTGGAGCCGTGCTCCGAGCTAAGACATCTTCGTCAAGGGCGGCTAAACTGCGAGCCCGCTGATTTGGTCGCGCAGCCTCTAAGGCCGCTGAAAGGTTTGCCCTCTTCCCCTGAAAGGCAACTGGCAAATCAGCCCTCACTTGGGCTGGGGACACCGCCTGCTGGGGCCCCGCCGCCAAAATGGCTTCAATCTGCCATTGGAGAACACCATTCTCTTGCAGAACGGAGGATTTCAAAGCGACATCGGAAACACTACGCACACCATGGCGCAGCAATGTGCTAGCCAGGAGTCCCTGCCCTGACGCTCTCAAAGCATCCCACAAGCCCTCCATGGGCTATTTGAAAGAAAACATTGCTCACTCGTGAACATGGATGGATCAGGTCATGAGTTGTGAGTTGCACATGCCGTTAAAGTGCAAGGGTGATGTTGACTCACATAGGATCATTCCAACTTCGGGCAAAAACTTTCAAATGGAGATGAAGTCAAAAACCCTTCTCAAAATCAAAAAAAAAGAAAAACTAAGTGAGTGCCCAAAGACGGCGGCCACTAAAACAAATCAAAAAAAAAACATGCAACATGCGGCGGAGGGAGAAGGGAGATGACAGGAACAGCGGAGCAGCATCAACTAACACACACGCACACACAAGAAAATGGCTGAACAATTTTCACGAATCAAAATGAAAAGTGCCAAAGGTGCGAAACCTGGCTTTGAAGGTCAACAGTATCCCGGTCACAGCGCCGAACAAGTGACCGATACGAGCAAAATTAGGACTACCGCCGTTAAGAAGGATGGAATTGATGTGACAAGCAAGTCTCCAGATGGAGACCTATCAGTTGTCACACAGATAAGAACAGATACTACACTTGATCATAGCCTGCTGACAACCAAAGGAGGAAAGCCCAAATGACCAAAAGCGATTCCACCAGTGCTGCACTGTCGTCGGAGGCTTCTGACTCTGGCATCTTCATGTTGCTCATGCTCATGCTTGCCATGCTTCTCATGCCTGTCGGCTTGCTTAAGGAAATCGAAGGCATCAGAAGCTCCCAAAGGTTCGATTTCCGTGGGCAGCGTTACAGACTCGAGCACGGCGCGAGCAAGAGGCAACAGCAGAAGGGTGAGGAACGCCATGGCTCCTGCAACCCAGCCTTTTCAGTTGGCTTTCCTGAGCCAACACTTCTGCCGGCCAATCAAGTCGTCATGGCCATGTTCCTACGCACATGCTGTGCTACACAACAAATGATGGCAATCAGCTGGATTTCTTTTTCGCACACAGATCGGACTCCCCCTATTAACTATTGAGTTTTTGTTAGTTCGATCACCGAAGGGTGCTTTACAAAGATGAAGGCTTGGCTGGAGTGACAAGTTAACTGGATTTCCTCGAGATGAAACTCTATTTGCTGTAGTATTTTTGTTGAGTAAATTATGTTTTATTTGCGTCCGATTGATATCAAAGAGAATAGTTTAGCCTGGTTTTCATTTGTTTTGGGCCTTATTGAAATCAAATAAATTATGCGCTCCGGAGTGTGCAATTTATTTTAAACAATAGTCAAAACCATTGAATACCAGGCCACGCTATCAACTCAAATATATTATATACCTCATGGAATCCTCATGGAATCCATGAAACTTCCTGTATCTTTCGATTTGTTAAACAACAGTTAAACTAAATCACGCGCTCCACAGCGCGCAATTCATTCAAATAAAGTTCAAAGCCATTTAGTACCAGCCTAAACCATTGTGGACATGAAGCCTACTTTATTCAACAAACATATTAAAATAAATTACGCGCTCCGGAGCGCATAATTCACCATATCAAGTTCAAAGTCATTTGGTACCAGCCTAAACTATTGTCTTGTTGCGCAATTCTTCTTGAAGGCGGAACGGCGCGAACCCCATTGTTGAGTGATTCTTCTAGAACAGGGATTGGCCCGAAACCCACTGTTGAGTGATTCTTCTTGAACGGGGATTGACCCGAACCCCACTGTTGAGTGATTCTTCTTGAACGGCGATTGGCCGAACCCTACTATTGAAAGATTCTTCTTGAACGGGGATGGCCGAACCCCATTGTTTACTGGTTCTTCTTGAATGGGGATTGGTCTGAACCCCACTGTTGAGTGATTCTTCTTGAACGGGGATTGGCCGAACCCCATTGTTTAGTGGCTCTTCTTGAACGGGGATTGGCCCGAACCCCACTGTTGAGTGATTCTTCTTGAACGGGATTGGCCCGAACCCCACTGTTGAGTGATTCTTCTTGAACGGGGATGGCCGAACCCCACTGTTCAGTGCCGAACCCCGTTGTTGAGTGATTCCTTTTGAACGGGGATTGGCCCGAACCCCACTGTTGAGTGATTCTTCTTGAACGGGGATTGGCCCGAACCCCACTGTTGAGTGATTCTTCTTGAACGGCGATTGGCCGAACCCAACTTTTGAGTGATTCTTCTTGAACGGCGATTGGCCTGAACCCCACTGTTCAGTGATTCTTCTTGAACGGGGATTGGCCGAACCCCATTGTTGAGTGATACTTCTTGAACGGGGATTGGCCCGAACCCCACTGTTGAGGGATTCTTCTTGAACGGGGATTGGCCCGAACCCCACTGTTGAGTGATTCTTCTTGAACGGTGATTGGCCGAACCCCACTGTTGAGTGATTCTTCTTGAACGGGGATTGGCCCGAACCCCACTGTTGAGTGATTCTTCTTGAACGGCGATTGGCCCGAACCCCACTGTTGAGTGATTCTTCTTGAACGGGGATTGGCCCGAACCCCACTGTTGAGTGATTCTTCTTGAACGGGGATTGGCCCGAACCCCACTGTTGAGTGATTCTTCTTGAACGGGGATTGGCCCGAACCCCACTGTTGAGTGATTCTTCTTGAACGGGCATCCTAGGCAATGAGTGAAATCTACTCAATTAGGTAGTAGGGAAAAACCTAACCCCCTTGTTGAGTGATTCGCGTTGAACGGGTCAACAAGGGAGTGAGGAAAAACCTAACTCCCTTGTTGAGTAATTCTTGTTGAATAGGTGACATCAATTGGAACACAAAAGGCCCAACAAGGGAGTGAGATAAAACGTAACTACCCTCTTGAGTGATTCAACTTGAATCACTCAACAAGGGAGTTAGGTTTTTCCTAACTCCCTTATTGAGTGGATTTGTGTTTTGCCAAGATTCCACCGCCAATCGAAGCTGATGGCTGATCCAATCCAGCTGCGGAATCATGTGGGGACAATTCCTCCCCTAAATGCAAAACATCACCATCAGCGCCAAACAGGCAATAGAAGGGAGTGGAGATGGAAGAAAATGGCGAGTCCATGTAACCACACTTAATCGTGACATTATAGTGTCTCCATTTCCCACCAACAAAAAATGATAAACAATTTGAAAAAACATACTTAGACAAGTAGATTACTGCTTTCATAAAAGTGAGCATGTACATGCCCACAGTAATGGTAGCATCAAGCTGCGGAATGAATCTGAATCTGAACATATCTGAGCCCAAGGGCCCCAACAAAGATGTTGGTATATGGAGTCCGTAGCCTGATGTTAAATGGTTTTGAATGCCATTTAAAGTAAATTACACCTTCAGTATTTGAATGTGTTGAACAAAGTACGTTTCATTTAGTTACATGGGATCAACATGCGAGACAATAGTTTAGGCTTGTAATAAACGGCATTGAACTTTATTTGAACAAATTACGCGCTCCGGAGCGCGTAACGATTACGCGCTCCGGAGTGCGTAATTGACTGTAGTATTTAAATGTATTGAATAAAGTACATGTTTCTTACATTGGGTCCAATAATATAGGCCCTATAGGCTGGTACTAAATGGCTTTGAACTTTATTTGAACAAATTACGCGCTCCGGAGCGCGTAATTATTACGCGCTCCGGAGCGTGTAATTGACTTCAATATTTACATGTATTGAATAAATAGTACATTTTTCTTACAGTGGGTCAATATACGAAACAATACTATAGGCTGGTACTAAATGGCTTTGAACAAATTACGCGCTCCGGAGCGCGTAATTATTACGCGCTCCGGAGCGCGTAATTGACTTCAGTAGTTACATGTGTTGAAAAAAGTGCGTTTCATTTAGTTACATGGGATCAGCATATGAGACAATAGCTTAGGCTGGTACTAAATGGCTTTGAACTTTATTTGAATGGATTACGCGCTCCGGAGCGCGTCATTGTTACGCGCTCCGGAGCGCGTCATTATTACGCGCTCCGGAGCGCGTAATTGACTTCAGTATCTACATGTGTTGAAGAAAGTACGTTTCATTTAATTACATGGGATCACCAATACGAGACAATAGTCTAGGCTGGTACTAAGTGGCTTTGAACTTTGTTTGAGTGGATTACGCGCTCCGGAGCGCGTAATTATTACGCGCTCCGCAGCGCGTAATTGACTTCAGTATTATTTACATGTGTTGAAGAAAGTGCGTTTCATTTAATTACATGGGATCACCATACGAGACAATATAGTTTAGGCTGCTACGAAATGGCTTTGATCTTGATTTGGATGGATTACGCGCTCCGGAGCGCGTCATTATTAATTACGCGCTCCGGAGCGCGTAATTGACTTCAGTAGTTACATGTGTTGAAAAAAGTGCGTTTCATTTAAATACATGGGATCAGCATATGAGACAATAGCTTAGGCTGGTACTAAATGGCTTTGAACTTTATTTGAATCGATTACGCACTCCGGAGCGCGTCATTGTTACGCGCTCCGGAGCGCGTCATTATTACGCGCTCTGGAGCGCGTAATTGACTTCAATATTTAAATGTGTTGAAAAAAGTGCGTTTCATTGGGTCACTATACAAGACAATAGTTTAGGCTGCTACAGAAAAATTGAGCTAAATTCCAACAGTTAAAAGTGATTTTCTGAATGATATCAAATGGAGCTTTGGGACGACCCTGTGGAATTTTCTACAAATGATGATGACGATGAATCTAACACTGATGAACTCACAATGTTCATGCTTGTATGTGTATCACCCTGTCGGGGTCCACAAACGGATACTTCTGGTCCGGAACCCTGCGCTTTTAGTGCGGGGACTTCGTTCACAGTCGGACACTCAACTGGTCCGGGACCCAGTCAATGTGATTTAGGTTGAAACATTGTCTCGCCACATGATTGATGAATACAAAGCCTGTGGGGTGGGTGATCAACCTAATTTGGAGGCAGTCAAATTTTGAGCAAAGCTTCCTTTGAAAATCAGATTGGATTTCTGGCTGCAGTTCAGCATGTTAAGAATCAGTGACTAGTTTTGACCAAAACAGTGTAGGCCCTGTCAATTCAGATGGGCAGCTGTGCGCATTTCATGAATTCAGAACGTTTTCGAAATCTGTTCGGTCCTACTGTAGACGACTGTTACTGCACGGATGTCAGTGGATTGCATGCCTCCTCCAATTTTCGAACACTTTACCATGGAATCTCCAACAATTTTTGATGTGGGTTTTGAGTCAATGGACAGCTACTTCATTGCTTTTGCTTGCTTATAATTAGACTCAACGTCGGATCATTTTTTTTTAAACACCTGCCTCAGAACTGGATTTTTGAGTGGCGGTCGCAAATAAATGTTGTGCATATGCACTTACACTGGACTGGAGATGAAATTTGAATGTTCGAAATTATTGCGATCATCTCAAGCTGGTCATGACTACATATTCTTGTTATGCATATTGAGTCGAAACTTGTCTCAACCTTTCTGGTCAAGAGCTCAGCAACAACTGCAGTTCCGGAACTCAGATTTTCCACTTGCCAATGTGCTTGTGCGATTACTCATTCTTGACGATGATATGAAATCACAAATGATGGAATCACAAATGAGGTCTTGGCTGAAAGGCTTTATCGTACATCATCAGGTAAGTCTTGCTCATTCGTTATGCATTCATCGTCCTTGTCAATGGCATGAGTTGCTGATTCGGACATTTTTGGATGACAAGGTATTTACTCCCTGTAAAGCTACTCCAGTACAGACGGTACAACAGATTCGCAATTCAGTACCTGAGTGAATTTTTCGACATTATGCGTGGGGCTTAGATTTCAGTGCGAAACTCAGCACGGGTTACATATTACCAAAACCTAGCCGCATGTTCAAAAAGGCTAGACCCATTATCAACTATAGCACATCGTGGCCGCGGAAGTTGGGCCAAGCCATTGGTATTGCATTATTGGAGATACTCAACATTGTTTATTCTGACCTTTTGCAATTTCAGGATGTACACGCCGTACTTGAACAAATTCGTTTGATGTTTCAAATCATTGCTACTGATGAACGGACATTTGAAATCCATCAATCTGACATCGCTGGCTTCTACAATCAAGTGGAACGTGATCGAATTCTTCAAGCTGTTGATTTCGCAATTCATAGTTTCTTTGCTCTGCAGCGAATATCTTTGGAATCATCTATTCAGACACACAATCATAAGTTGGAACGCACACTACGCATTTTTCAGGGTTTTCGGTCAAGAGCTCAGCAACAACTCAAGCTCATTCTGCAGTTCCGGAACTCAGAATTTCCATTTGCCAATGTACCTGTGTGATTTTTATTTATTCGTGACGATGAGATGGAATTACAAATGCGGTCTTGGCTTAAAGGCTTTATCGTATAGTCTTGCGCATCGTTTTCAATTTTTCACTTTTCACATCACTCGTCATCGTCATGAGGTTCTTTTCGGCCAGGTATTCATTCTTTTAGGCAGGCTCTTTAGGTCAGTTTTCTTAGGTAAAAAACCAAGCCCTTTGCGGTTTTGCCCCATTTCGGGGCTAATGTGTGTGTGTACACCGTTATAACAAACGGTTTTAGTTCTTGTCATCGATCTTGTACTATTCAAAAAAAAAGCAGGGGGCAGAGGTACCCATGTCACTTCCTCTGCCAACGAAGCTGGGTGACATGTGGTAAGGATATAGATCAGGGACGCCTGATCTACGTACCTGCTATAGTTTCAACTGTTGACTTTCTGTTCTTGTTTATGAGCTGTGCGTTGTTTCTTCGATCGTGAATCTGTGCCCGCTGAAATTCTACTGCCAGGCAACTCAGGAAATCAGGCGAAGACTATGACATCCTTCACACTTTTTACTGGCCATTACCCCACAGTATGTGTAATGTGTGTGTAATGTGTGTGTAAACCAATACATATGTACATAATAACATGATATTGTATTTTTATCTGTCTATTTATCTGTCTGTTGATCTATTATGTGTGTGTGTTTGTGTGAAATGATGTGTATATCTATACGTAATCATGTATGTATGCAGGCGCGCATGTAATTGTGTATATATATATTATATAAATATATATAACATCCATCTATGCATACATGATCATACACGTATGTGACCGTATGTGGGTTGGTAGTGCAACATAATGCAACGACAGAACAGCATTCACACCTGAATTCTCAAGACATCTCAACTCAACTGCCGCATTTTTGGCTAAGCATCGCATCACAGGTTTGATGAGGTGCGTTGGTTCACGCCCCTCTTCATTATAAAGGGGAAAAAGGCCGACTCAGCCGCAGAGGGAGTCAGCATACCGACAGGGGTACTGTTTGTGGATGGCAACTTTGCCAACCAAGTGACGTCACTTTTTTTTGGATATCGGCCCACGCAGCTACAAAGCTGGCCTTTTTGGGATCCTTTGGTGGGTCGGCTTCCCCAGTGGGGGCCCCCGTTGGCCTATGCCAAAGTTCGCATGGGATCGGGGGTCTTCTGATTGTTGAACTTGTACAGGGAGCTCAAGGTTTTCCATCCCAGCTTCAGATCACCCATGGGGTCATTGCCTTGCACGGTCTTGTAGAGGTAGGAGTCCTTAGAATCTAAGCAGATGCACTGAGATGCGTTGAGGCTTGGGGTTTGGGAGGACAACCAACCTAACCCAAATGATATCTCCAAATGCTGTCTGTCACAAATGGTACAAGCTGAAATATCTGAAACCCATCTCTTTTGCATGGATCTTCTGATTGACACTAAACCCCGCAGCCTGATCAATACTGGCACCCCTCATTTTCTCCCCAAGTGCGACAGTCTATGCAGTGTCCCCTTGGCTGACGCTTCAAACATGCAACTTCGGAGTCAGCACCCGGTCCATGAGATTCAAAAATCTACTCAGAGTACGAAGACGGCGAAGGGCCGAGAAAGGATCACAAAGGAAGTCAGCCTGTTTCTGCACGCCAAATGCAAAGACAGCAGCATGACTTGCCACCACGGGGCCGCGGTGCTCTTCCTGCCGGACACCACAGAGGTTCACATCAGCCAAGTTTTCTGAGGCAGCCTGCGCCAGGGTCCCTAGAGGTGTTTTGGACAGATCCCCCGCAGCAAAGATGCCAGTCTCCTTCTGCAACTGGCCACAGTGAACGAAGAGCTTCTCCACTTTCTTGGTCTCTTCTAGCAAGACCTCCATACCTTCCTTCCTTTCTAAGTCTGTGTACTCCAACACCTCTTGCATCAGAGGTGCTCGTATGCCATGGTCATCTGGCATCTTCACCCTATCAATGATGCGAAGCATGCTAACGCCTCGCAGAGTGGCATGCACCAAATCCTCCTCAAATGACAGTTGGACCACTTCAGCTCCAACACATCCCCGCGGAAGATAGGTGGCTTGTGGGATGTCCACCGCAATGCCCAGGAAGCCCCCATGTTCTTCCAAAGCAAACTTCAGGGCCAAGTGCTGCGTTGAGCCTTGACGAAAGACTTGTCGCCGAAGCTGTCCAACTTGAGGTACCCATTGGATTGGAAGACGGATCACTGCTAGGGTGCGAAATGGGCTCAAGTCTAGGTCGTCCAGCTCTTCTAAGACCACATCATTGTAGCGATTTCGCAAAATCACATCCATGTTTTTGGGAATTTCCCCTGGCAAGCTGCGCCAAACATCTACTCCTCTCTGTGCTTGTGCCCTTCTTTGGGCCCTTTTACCCCTTCCAGCGGCCCTAGCGGCCACCAAGCACATCACAGGAGTGCACAGCTGCCAGCCATGGTAGGGCCTGGGCGACACCACCTTGGGTGTTGCGGCCGTGGCCGTGCTGGCCGGGCGGGCCGGGCTGGCCGTGCCAGGACCCGGTGGGAACAGCTCAGCGAGCATGGCAACTTGAGCACTCGGCCACTGGCGAATGGACCACTGAAAAGGAGTTGGAAATTCTGTTTAAAGGTGTTAAGACCTCATAGGCCTGGTGGAGAATGAAACTTAAGCTGATTCTCCAAATGCTACTTACCAACGTGATACCAACGTGCATTGGATCTTCCTATCAAGATCATTCAAGATCAGGTTGTTTTCTTGAACACGTCACGGTGACGTCACGGCCAAGTTTCGAAGGTGACCTTCTGCACGTACTCCTCCTCGCACAATTCCACGAAGCTCTCCCTGGCCGCATCGGAGGTGTAGAAGACCTTCTGCAACAAATCCAACACCAGGTAGGTAGGGCCGTACTTGCCGTCCCACTCCCTGGCGACAAGAGAAGCTTCATCATGAACAGATCCTCAAATGAGCTTTTCCGAACATGTGAACCCCAAAAATTATATGTGTTCGTACTGCATATTGACAGCCACCCAGCCACCCGTGGCTGCGCCTGAGGTGTTCCATAAGATCAGCCTCATCGATCATGCGGACGCCCTGCTTGGAGTTCTTCACAATGGTCTCCGCACACATTCCTTGCTGCCGCTGAAACACAGCGGATGGACCAAGTTGGTCCACTGCTGCGGTTGTTTTGAAATGTGTGAAAATGCTGAGATGTTGCGATGAGCTGGTGCATATCAAAGAGTACTAACGCGTACGAATTACGAATGCCTTGGGCTTGGTTTTTTTTTTTTGCGGCCTCGCGTGGTTTCACCACATTTTCTTGTGGTTTAATGCGGAATTTTATGCTCTGGCGCTGAGCGTCGACCGCTCTTGGCAGCAAAGTAGATGCCCTCGCCACTGCACTTGGTGACCTTTGTGTTCAAGAGTAAAAGAATGAAGAGATGCTGTGTTCGCCTTGAGATGCTATTGAGCCAATATTCACAATATAGCATCAAAATCTGCAGCGGGTATGCTTGTAAGTATGAAGAGCAAACATTGCATGACAGAATGCAAAAAGAGAGAATACTGCAACTTGGTGACGTAGCCTGCGGCGTCGCCAACCAGGATGGCGCGGTCCTGCGATGGGCAAGATACAGGATGCAGCCCAATGGTGATTTACTGGTCGATTTGATGGGATTTAATGGTGATTTACAGGATCTACCCTCCAAATCTACCTGTGATCCTAGAAATTGTGATTTTCCGTTGCTATGTTAATTTGCCACAAGGGCAGAAGGTCCTCCAATATATATATATATATATATACATATGTATGTATCTATTTGTGCATTTATTCATTTAGCATTTATTTATTTATGGGTGCATATTTTTTTGGTGAAATTGTTTTTCCCCACCTGCTAGGTGAGGGTTGTTAGATTTTATGTCAGTTGCCTGGTCCTCCTCGTCCTCCTCCTCCTTCTCCTCCTCCTCCTCTCGTTGTCCTCCTCCTCGTCGTCCTCCTCGTCCTCCTCGTCCAACTGCGACCCGCGATCCACAGTGTTCTCTGTCGGACCTCAACCACGACCATCCACGCCCAGTGTTCCCTGCCGGACCTCAACCACAACCATCCCCGCCCAGTGTTCCCTGCCGGACCTCAACCACGACCATCCACGCCCAGTGTTCCCTGCCGGACCTCAACCGCGAGTATCCCCGCCCAGTGTTCCCTGCCGGACCTCAACCACGACCATCCACGCCCAGTGTTCCCTGCCGGACCTCAACCGCGAGTATCCACGCCAAAAGATATGCCGCATAGAGTGCCAGAAGATATGCCAGATAGAATGTTAGAAGATATGCCAGATAGAATGCCAGAAGGTATGCCAGATAGAATGCCAGATAGAATGTCAGCTAGAATGCCAGAAGATATGCCAGATAAAGTGCCAGAATGTTTGCCAGATAGAATGCCAGCAGATTTGCCAGATAATATGCCAGAAGATATGCTAGATAGAATGCCAGATGGAATACCAGAAGATTTGCCAGATAATATGCCAGAAGATATGCCAGAAGATATGCCAGAACATCTGCCAGAAGATATGCCAGAACATCTGCCAGAAGATATGCCAGGTAGAATGCCAGAAGATATGCCAGATAGAATGCCAGATCGAATGCCAGAAAATATGTCAGATAGAATGCCAGAAGATTTGCCAGTAACAAAATGTATAAATGTCATGGTGGGGATCACACGAAGTAAAGTAATTGTTTTTGTTTATGTTTTTTCCCCGGCCGGGGCACTTTTCCTTGCTATTTTGCTAGTCCACATTCAGGGGCCCTGGACCGCACACAACGCATGTTTGACACCCAAGCGGCCAGAAAAATGCACTGTGCATCGGTTTTTCCATGGTGTTCATTGATTTACCCAAAGTGTTCATCGATTGTTCCATAGTTTTCATTGAGTTTGCCATGGGTTCAATTGGTGTTTCCATGGTTTCAATCGATTCTTAGATGCATAACATGCACCTGGTGAACATGTAGAATATAGGTTGAAGCACAACCGTGTTGGGTTTAAATAGTCGCATTGGATGCTATCATAGCGTTGGTTGGTTTAGGGTTGGTTTAGGGTCATATAGGGTTGGTTTAGGGTTGGTTCTGGGTTTATTTAGGGCGTATTTAAAGTTGGTTTAGGGTGTATTTAGGGTTATTTAGAGTTGGTTTAGGGTTTATTGAGGGTTATTTAGAGTTGGTTTAGGGTTTATTTAGGGTTGGTTAGGGTTGGTTTAGGCTTGCTTTAGGGTTTATTTAAGGTTTATTTAGTGTGGGTTTGGGGTTTATTCAGGGTTATTTAGGGTTGGTTTAGGGATGATTTAGGTTGGTTTAGGGTTTATAGAGTTTATTTAAAGCTGGTTTAGGGTTTATTTAGGGTTGGTTTAGGGTTATTCAGTCTAGGGTTGGTTTAGGGTTTAGGGTTGGTTCAAGGTTTATTTAAGGTTTATTTAGGGTTGGTTTAGGGTTTATTTGAGGTTATTTAGGGCTGTTATTTAGGGTTGGTTTAGGGTCTATTTAAGGTCTGAGGGTTGGATTAAGGTACATGTAGGGACACAAGGTGTGTATAGATAGATAGAATAGAATAGAATAGAATAGAATAGAATAGAATAGAATAGAATTAGAATAGAATAGAATAGAATTAGAATAGAATATATAGAATTGAATAGAAAATAGGATAGAATAGAATAGAATAGAATAGGAATAGGAATAGGATGGTATAGGAATGGGAATGGAATAGAATAGAATAAGAATAGAATAGACTAGAGTAGAATAGATTAGATTGGATTGGATAGGATTAGATTAGATTAAATTAGATTGATAAATTAGATAGATTAGATAGATTAGATAGATAGGTAGATAGATTAGATAGATTAGATAGATTAGATAGATTAGATAGATTAGATTAGATAGATTAGATAGATTAGATAGATTAGATAGATTAGATAGATTAGATTAGATTAGATCAAGTTAAGTTGGGATTGAGATTAAGATCAAAATTAAGATTAAGATGAGATTAGATTAGAAAGATAGATTGATAGATTAGATAGATTAGATAGATAAAATGAGATTAGATAAGATTAGATAAGATTAGATTAAGGTTAGATTAGATTTAGGTTAGATTTAGGTTAGATTTAGGTTAGATTAGATAGATAGGTAAAGCATGGTAAAGCTACAAAAGCCATACACCCACAAAAGCCACAGAAGCCACAAAGCCAGGCTGGAAAACAAAAAAAAAACATCACCCGTTATTTATTTATATCTATTTATATTTGTTATATTTATTTTTATGTTCATATTTTTTATGTTTACATTCATAAACATATATTATCATATCTTTATATTGTTTCATTTTCATTTATATATGATATGTATATTTATGTGTATATATGATGTGCATAGGTTTATTTATATTTTTTAATTATATATATATATGTAGTCATCCTGGAGAAGATAGAATATGAATATGGAGTTTTGAAAATAGTCCCATCCCATTTCAGCATTTTTTTTCGAACATTCCACATTCGATCTAGTATATGTACTCTGATTTAGTATTTGTATGAATCTGTGTTTTAATAGCGGTCATCCAAATTCATTGGGAATCCTTCGCCAGAAAACACTGAAAAACACACGCCACCAGGCCCAGGTGGCTGGAACTCATCTGTGGAAATGGCTGGGTCCATCTCCAGTCCTTTACGCGCCAAGGGCGGGGATGCTCTGGGATGGGGCGCGCCTCAACCCGAATGATCTCGCCACCATCAATGCGGGTGGCTGCCCTGTCACGGATGCCCTGCTGGTACCTGCAAACGTACCAAGGGGATTGGATGGGGGCTGGGGAGTTATGGTCCAAGGGCTGGGATTGGAGCGGATTCATATATCTTATTGCTCCAGTTTGCTAGAGAAAGCCTTAAGTGTGCCAAGTCATTGCTTGCCTCGGCAGCTTCCATTTCCACCACCCGATGGTCCCATGGTCCCATGGCCTTTGAATGCCCTTCTTGTCCACCACTGTGCCAGTGCCCACGGCCACATGATCGCACTTGGGGAAAACCCAGGCATAGAAGTCCGGAGACACGTCTTCACCCACATACATCTCCGCACGGTCCTTGGACCAAGGTCAAGGCCAGAAAATTCCGGATTTGGGGCCAAACTGGATTGACACTGACCCCAATCAAACCTACGCGTGGTCGTCTGTCCTTGTAGTAGTCCATCTTCTGCTCAGGGATCTTCATGCGCTCCTGACAGCTTTGACGGAAAGGGCAGGGACTGAATCGGAAAGACATCCAAAGCCCCTTCAAAAGTGTCGTCAATTCACGTTGATCGATGTCAGACACCATTTCACCATTCCCCCCTATATCAACAACCCAAAAAACATATAGGATGGCCCTCCATGGCCTGGAAGGCGATGGCGTACTCGTAGTCTCCGGCCTCGATGTCCTTCGCCACGCGGCTGTTCGCCCCATCCGCACCGATGACCACGTCCACCTCCAGGCTCTTCTTCACGCCTTTCCGGGCATTGCCTTGGACCCAGAGGGCGGTGGCAATCAACCCAAATATCTGAGAGAAGGAGACCGGTAAATTATATTATATATATATATTATAATATATATATATATATATGGATACATACTGTGTATGGATGTATATGTTTGTATGCAACGTGTGTGTGTGTGTGTCTCTCTCTCTCTCTCTGTCTCTCTCTCTCTCTCTCCATCGCCTTCAGACCAAGTCTGGCCCAGCCAGTATATGTATATAGAGATAAATCCCAATATTATACAATATATTTGCTCTTATTGTAGCAGCATGGATATATCAATATAGATATAGATATAGATATACTGTAGATATAGATATAGATATAGATATCATACACGTCGCAAATATATTCACACCTTGCTGGCAGGTGTCCCTGCTCATCCTCGTAATCATTGTAGGTCAGAACATAGGAATCACCCTTCTTCTCTGGCAAGGTCATACCTGTGCGTGAGAGCCATCCAACATCCACGAAGTATCACGAAGTCATGATGAACACAAATGAAAATGTGGGTTAGCATGATCTAACCATTACAAATTTATAATGGCACCATCAAACAATAAATTGATATAAATTGTGCAATATGAAAAACATTGAAAAACATTGAAAACCTGTATAGCAGTAAACCCAATCATCAACCTCCAGCTTGGGAGGTTCCAAAACCACCCATTTCTGGCGAAATTTGGCATTGTCTACATATTATCGGGCCACAGCCGAGGCGCCCAAGAACAGCCCGTTGATCAAGGTGGCTCCGTTTTTCTTGGCCCTCTGCCGAAGGAAATCGTCCAAGACCTCTCGGCGGACCATGCCAATGTACTCATCATCCTGGGGAACGAGCAAAATCTCGGAGTTGGGAGATGCGAAACTTCCACGGAAATTGAATAATTTAAATGAACGTGAGCTATTTTAAGCCCAAAAGATGCAAAGGATGATGAAGGGGGACCGTTTGAGAATCAACAGTGGGTCCCAGCAAACAATGATAAACAACGTCGGCGAAGAAAGCGTCTCCATCTTAGATGTCTTTCATTGTCTTTACCCACCATGTCTATTGAGGTATATAATTGAGATGAAGATTGCATTGACCCTCGTGTCCTTCAAGGTCTGACCAATTTGAACCTCCTTGTTGGTGGGTGAGATCATGGTCATCTTGCGCACCTGCCGATCCACAATGTTCTTTGGCAGGTCGAATTCATCAATCATACACAGTGGGATGGCTCCACCACATGGCTTGCAGTTGTCCATCTTTCTCTCGATCAAATATGTCTCGACTCCATCCTTTGCCAGCTGATCTGCAGCACTGGCACCTGCGGGTCCACCACCCACCACTGCCACTCGCAGCTTGCGGCCCTCAGGGAAGTTGACACCTGCGCACACCACCACCTTGGCATCCCTCAGGCTGCGGTGGTTCTTCACTGCGCTGACCTTCACCCCCTTGGCCAAGGTACTGCGCTTGGAGCGTCGCACTGCCCCAGCCACCCCAGCTGCCGCAGCCGCGGTGGCGGCCACAGCGATGCCAGAGAAGCTGGAGAGGCCCGAAGCAGGTGCTGGAGCGCTGGGGGCCAGGGCGGCTGGAGCAGCAACGCGGGACTGAAGGGGAGTGGCGGACTGGACGACCAAAGATGGCATGGCCATGACGCCTGACATCGTTAAAAACCAAAACAAAACTAGTTGCGGTGCAATGCTTTCTGCTTAGCCTTGGGCCGAGACGTCAAGAAGGCAGGAGGTTGCTGAAAAGTTGGACATTCTGTCTAAGAAATGCTTTGAATGAACCTCACCCGTCTAGTCGCTAGAGCTTCCGACCAAGAGACAGAGAAACAAAGGGAAAGCACGCACAGTGTCAGACAATCAAATTATATATATGTATATGTATGTGTGTGTGTGTTTGAGTATGTATATATATATATATATATTTATTTATTTATTTATGTATCTATTTATTTATTTATCTATTTATTTATTTAAACATGTGTGTTATTCTAGCCCTTGAAGCCCTGGTTTTTGAGCGTAGAACATCGAACGAAGCGCCTTGAGCTCCGCCTCTCGACGAGCCAGCTCCTCTTGGACCATGAGGCATCAGCGAGTGATGTCAGGTGATTGAAGATTTTTAGATGCATTTAGGGTAGTTTATCCTTGTTTATGGAATTTTATGGTTGATCTTTCTGAAGCATCAGCCATTTCTGTGGACCGATAGGAACCTCCCGGTCATCCAGTTGCTCCTCCTTCTGCACTCCTAGGCTGTCTCTTTGCTCCACCAGCCTGGGGCTCGGGAAGACAGCTGGAATCTGAGAAGAAAATATACAAAAATGCAATCCAGACCTCCCATGACTTCGCCATTTGTAGATTGCGTTCTTGTTCTAATTCTAGGGCCTAGATTCTAAGGGTTGTGCAATTCCCATCTTGAATTTGCTCACGGGAGCCCGCGGATTCTGGTCAGATTCGAGTATCAGACCATCTGGGATATCCAATGTTGACATATGTTGACCCCGACCCATACCGGGCCCATACCCATATTGCCAACAACCCACGTTTTGGGTCGGGTCCATGGATGTCGCTAAAGCTCTGCCCAGCTGCTCCTTTTGAAGGTCAGCCAAACCTCTGTGGCCGGTGCTGCTTGAAGGAATACAGTTTCATCGAATATCTTGATATATCTTGATACTCTCGTCTCTCATCTCACCTCTCTATACCTCTCTTCTCTCACCTCATCTCATCTCTCACCTCACCTCATGTCTATCTCTCTCTCTCCCCTTCGTTTTCTCGCCAAATGTGCTATCTTTTATGCACAACTACCCGCGTATATTTTATGTGCATACTGGTATACACTGGTAACAACAAGCTCGGCTCTTGGAATCTGGGACTCCGATGTCACCACTGTTCTCCCGTAAGGTATTTTTGCGGCGCATTGCAGCATTACGCATTGCGCAATGATGATAAATCGAAAACAGAATCCATGATTTGTCCTCTAAATGGTGGTGAATATATGTGAATATATGTGAATATCACATCATACGAGTATCACGTCCCAGATCTTAGCAGCGACTTTGATTGCGAAAAACCGGGGCGCCAGAGTTTCGATCCGTAGCATCCATGTATAAAGCCATCTCTGATGTTTCAAGCAGAAGTTCTCCCCTCCAGTGCCCTCACACTATCACCGACCATAGCCGACATCCTCAACCCGATGGCCAGGAGGCAGCCCGAGATCTCTTCCAGCTTTTGCATCGAACCTCACCCAAGTTCTTGAATCTTGAGATTTTCTGAGATCTCTGAAAACCTTCCCAGGTTTTCAATCATTGAATCATCCCTTCTCCGAGAAAAAATGTATCTAACAACCCCTAAAAAAATAGAAAACCATGTTGGTTTGATCTTGTTGGGGGTTGCTATACTGTAAAACACACACACCTTGGCAATGGATGCCACGGGATCATGGAAAATCTGAGCGGCCCCACTCGGCGCACCATTGGCCGCCAGGACTTTGAGCAGGGCCTCGGTCAGCCTCGGCCCAACAATAAACCGACCATTCGGGGATGGTTCATACCATACACATGGTGATTTTGGGGATGGTTTAGGGTTTTGGATTTACCACATTCTGGGGTATACGGTATGGGTGAAAAATTGGGCACTAACCCACCAAACTGTTTTTTCAATGATTGTCTGAATGAGTTGATCATTCTCGTCCATACGCGTATTCTCTTTGCCCATTTCTACCACCAGGTGACCAGGTGGAACTGTGGTGGATACATACTAAAATGGTAACCAAAAGGGGTGGTTCTACTTGGCTCTATCATATGAGGCTAAGTACAGGAGCTTCAGTCTCCATCTGGTGGTGAAATGATCAAATTCCCTCTGGTTGGTATAGGCCATGACTATGTTCTGAACCTTAAGAGGTGCTGGAAAAAGCACCTGTAACACTTGGTGTTGGCAAACAGTGAAGTACTCCGTTGTCGAAAGACCATTAAGACTTACTGAGCTAAGGATTGATTACACTCTGGTAATTCAACATAGTTGTTGAAAATGGCCCATAGAAATAGTTGATTTAGCTATAAAAAAATGGTGATTTTCCAGCTCGCAAGCTGTGAGTTTACCAGGTATCCAGGATCGCCGGGTTTCCAAACTCATCTCGGGTAATGTCCTCCTCAGGCATCTGAAGGGTCTTTTGCCTGAAGTTGTTTGGGATCACCGGATGACAAATCATGATTTGTATTACGTTTTTCGATCTTTTGGGACTACTCTATTTCTATATATATATATATATACATATACATATGTATATACATATGTGTGTACAGTATATTGATTATATTATACTCTTGAAATCTTTCAGAAAGCATTATATATCCAGTCCCCGCCTCAACCAGTCTGCTACATGTGGTGCGCTCCCAAACTTCACCCCCGGGATGCTCTTTGCCTTGGATGTTGGAGCAATCCCTGTGTCACCACCAAGTTTGTGCGAAAGCGTGAGTTCAAATAATAGATTGATGACGATTTTTATTATATATTATTATTATCATTAATAATGAGAATGATAGTTATATTAGTTATAATGCGAATGATGATAACAATAATTAATAGTAATGATGATGAGATATTTTTTACAATTTCCTTTCACACCAATCTCCGATCTCATTTCGAAGTATCCAGGATTCACCTCCGGTTGATGCCTGTGACAGTTGAAAATATGGCTGTGGGGATCCGTGGGTGGTGGGTCAAAAGCCATGGAACCCCATGGAACCCCACTGGTACATGGATGTTCAGTACCTCCAAGAATGTGCCATTGGCCCAGACTGCCACAACATGCCATAACATCATCCAGGCCCAGAACCAAAATCTGGATAAGTTGAATCACCAAACTGAGAAGTTGGGCCATTTAATCGTAGTTAATCTCGATGATCAATGATGTTCAAAATCATACCCCCGCAGGTGATTCATATAGAGTAAAATAGATATATGTTTCATGCTGCTAATGCTGCCCTTCTGACTGCAGCAAGTGATTATTCGAAGGAAGTTTAGAAGTCAAACTTCCGACAATATGGACAGATGAAAAGCAGAGCTGGGAAGAGGCAGAGAGAAGAGAAAGATTAGAAGAAAGAAGAGTAGAAGAGAAAGAGTAAGAAGAAAGAAGATGGAGATGCGCGAAAAGGTAGGAAAGTCGCGAAACACTGTGTTTTTCCAATGGTTTGGGGCTCCGGAGGGTCGAAAAGTAGGCTCGCTAAAGCGGCGGGTGCGGAGCCAGCTGGCCAGATGAGAGATGAAAAATTGCACGCCGTTGTGGCGCGAAGCACATTTCCAAGTGAAAATGTACAAAACACACCATTCTCGGACCACTGTTGGAAGTTGAGATGTCAAAAAAGTGCACGCCGTTGTGGCGCGAAGCACATTTCCAAGTCAAAATGTACAAAACACACCAGTGTCGGACCACTTTTGGAAGTTGCGGATGTCAAAAAAGTGCACGCCGTTGTGGCGCGAAGCACATTTCCAAGTCAAACAAAATGTACAAAACACGCCATTCTCGGACCACTTTTGGAAGTTCAGATGTCGAAAAAGTGCACGCCGTTGTGGCGTGAAGCACATTTCCAAGTCAAAATGTACAAAACACCACATGTTCGCGCCACTTTTGGAGGTTCGGATGTTGAAAAAGTGCACACCGTTGTGACGCGAAGCACATTGCGAAGTCAAAATGTACAAAACACCACATGTTCGCACCACTTTTGGAGGTTCGGATGTCGAAAAAGTGCACGCCGTTGTCGCGCGAAGCACATTTCCAAGTCAAAATGTACAAAACACCACATGTTCGCGCCACTTTTGGAGGTTCGGATGTCGAAAAAGTATACGCCGTTGTGGCGCGAAGCACATTTGGAAGTCAAAATGTTAAAAACACCAGGGGTTCGGACCACTTTTGGAGGTTCGGATGTCGCTTCGCTTCAATACACTACACTACAGGACATTACACTACACTACATTACACTCCAGTACACTCCACTACATTAAATTACACTACACCACACTACATTACATTGAATGACACTGCAACACAGATAGACAGGTAGACAGCTAGACAGATAGACAGATGAAAGGGAGAGATAGATAGACAGGTAGGTAGATAGATAGATAGGTAATTAGATGAAAGAGAGAGAGAGAGAGGCTAGCTGGGTAGATGAGATAGATAGATAGATGGCTAGACAGATAGACAGACAGAAAGACAGACAGATCGATAGACAGACAGACAGACAGACAGACAGATAGATAGATAGATACATCGATAGATACATAGATCGATACATGGAGAGATAGATAGATAGATAGATAGACAGACAGACAGATAGATAGATAGATAGATCGATCGATCGATAGATAGGCAGAAACACTCAATCACCTTTCGATCCATGAGTGGCTTCGCTCTGCCATCCCTGATTCACAACAACCAACCTATAGGTTTCCTATTTTTGAAACTTCCGACACCGCCTTGCGCGGTACTACTGGTATTATACCTTTGTCTGCCAATATCCTCTGGTAATTTAACATAGCTATTGAAAATTGCCATTTATAGTGGATTTTCCCATGAAAAATTATGATTTTCCATAGCTATGTTAGTTTACCAGAGGGTAATCCCATGTGTTTTCCCATGTTTTTCCACTTTCCTGAAAGCCTAATATGGCTATGGCATGCCATGAAGGGCACCTGGGAGGGACCCCTGGGATCCCCTCAG